GTATGTTGTAAAAAGGTTGATAATTTTCCGCCCATGTCCAGGTAAAGGAACTGTGTGCCTTGTATTGTTGTCGAAACGGAGGACAATTCCTTGGGTGCGTGTCGCCGTACCTGTGACAGACCCGGGAGAAAAAAGGAAACGAACAGAGACAGCCACACAGACAGAAGAAAGGAATGCATTCTTCGGGAAGCACCTGCCCAGTTTCCCTTTTGTAAGCTTCCGCTGCAGCCACACGCAAACGAACACACGATGTCTCCATTTCAACCTGAAAAGCTTTTGTCTCCTCAAACATCGCAGAAAACTCCAGATATGGACCCTTGAAGATACGTCGATAGGTGTTAGAGTCGTCCACCACAGCTGGTGTCACCAGAAGCGGAAAAACGATTAACCACCGTAACGCCTTTAAACGTTTCCGTATAATGATTTTTAATTAACATGGCACATTAGCAACAACTTTCACAATATAATAAACATACTCATGAAATGACAGGCCCTACGTTTTCCAATATCATCAAAACACCTTGTGTACCACGAGCAAAATGCCAAAATCCAATTGCTAGCTCGTGGCGCGTGCCAAGTAGTGGCAAAGTAGGAACTGCGAGAGATGTGGGCAATAGAAAGTAAGTTACATCACTTTTGCCACTAAACTTCGACAGTGTAAACGAGGCATTAAAAAGAAGTAAAAGCGCTAAACATGTGGCTCATTGTTACTTCAAGTGAGGTCTAATGAAGTAGGTAGTCTTTGGCTGTTATTTCGAATTGCAACCGTGGAGGCTGAGGGAAGGTGCTCCACAACGGTCGGCCTGTAGAGAAGGAGCGTAACTGTTTTGGCGCGCGTCCAAACTTGAATCGTTGCATTACCGGCACTCTCTTCCGTTTTCCTTTCAGAGCGCCTTTCTTACTCAATTAGCGGAGGAGAACAAGAAGACGATGATATTGGTTACCTGTAAGTTCCTTTGTTCCAATTTACCTCATGTTGATTACCTTTTCTAGAGGCTACTTGTTGTGTAATATAACTTCGTTCTCAACCCTTGGAGCTCTTCCGTGCTTGCAAGTTCCGGGTCTTAAGCAGATAATAAGTAGCCGCCCCTGGGAACATCCGACGGGGTTGAGGTATTGAGGTCAAAGGAACATGGCTTGCAGTGTAAATATATAAAGGAAATCACGAATAGAGGGGAAGTAATACCGTTGTCTCATGTTAAACCTTAAGGAAAACATGCGTTGAAATAAAGAACTAAAAGGAGGATGTGGTCATCAAATGCGAACTGTTGGTTGCCATGATAGTAACACTACCTGGGTAACTAAATAAGGCTAGTTGCCAAAATGGAGGAAGTTGCGAAAGGAAAATTTGCTGGATAAGAAATACGGCATCAAAGCTTTATTTTGAACATAATACCACTTCTTAAAAAGTTATTGAAGTGTGTAGTATGTGGTGAGGTTGATGTTGCCGACATGCGAAAAGCATGGTACCTAAAACTGAGGCTTTTGTTTAATGCCGTTGATGCTTGATGAAAAGAAAAAAGAATAAATAATTTTGCAAGTGTTTAGGCTGCGGTGTATAGTGCACCGTATCTTTAAGTTAATAGGTTTCACACTGCAACGGCTACAGGAATAAATATTTCAACGGATTGCATGCATTTTTACAGAAAGCGATAGTTTGCAAGCGGAGGAACTTACATTTAACCAGGTGAAAGAAAGTTGATTTTAATCGTAAGTTGAAAAGCCTGTCAGAAATGTATACCAATCAATGTTCCGCATAGAAATGAGTACGTTTAAATGCGTAATCTATTAATAAGCAAAGCTTTTGAGGAAAAGGAAACCAAAAAGCACTATCATCATATTGCCTATATTCATTGCATTGATCAGAAGTACCACAATCAGCTTTAGACGTAGGTGGTTGTTGTCCGCACGGAAGATAAAGCCCTACGGCTGATGAAGTAACTGAATGTAAGCAAGGCGTACCTGAAAATCTGTTTGGTTTTTTTGATGCTGTACGTCATTTGTGTAACAATAGGAAGCATGCATTAAAAGAAGTGGGCAGTATGAAATACACGTGTGGGGAAATGTTTGATTGATTTACCTGTAAATTACCGCAGCATGCCATGATTGCTGTATGCGATACTGAGAACGTAAATGCGTGGACTATGCAAAACAATTAAATATATGTAATTCCTGCTTGTAAAGAATTGGTGAATAAATGTAGGTCTGTGAAGTGTGTAGACTTATGCAGTCGCAATGTGTAAATAACGAAACTGGTGGTATTATAAGGAGAGTCAACGAAGTGAAACGACGATGTTGCCTGATCGTTTTGACCGGTTACCACCCAACGATGTGTGTGTTAGAAGTTTTGTTGTAAAAAATTGTATTATGTCAGGTAGCATAGTTGCAGAATGGCAAGGGGTAACAAAAATAATTACTATGTAATTAATATAATCATGTTGCGTTTACCGTTTAAAAGCCCTAGAAGCTATGATGGTCCAGGTTCGCTGTCCATCATCGGGCATATTTTATCACGTGAGAGAGTCGCTGTGGTAAGGTAACTGGATACCTGTGGTCTCTTATTATAGTCGTGTTCAATGGTTTCCTTTTCTCCATTCCTTCTAGGCTCGTTTTCCATGTAGTTGCATTCCTTATCAGGCCATTTCTGCGTTCTTATTGCTTAGTTCCGGTGTGGACAGGTATAAGATCTTAAGCTGCGGAAAATTGCGTATGTCCCGGTAAGTCCCGAGGCAATTCAGCTTGCCGTGGATAGTCTGTGGGACTGGTCTACCTTATGGTTGCTGCCAATAAACTAGGCCAGCTGCCCTGTTCTTAACGGGTACACGAAACCTTTGGTGCTATGTACCGAGACTCAGTGACTGGCAATAATATTGCTAGTACAATTACACCTTCGTACGCCACCGCATCATCGTTACACGGCACCTGTGGTTACTCGGTGACCGAGACTCCTGGTGCTCTTGCAATAAAAGGCATATGTGGGATAATGCACGCACCGGCGCAGGACGCATGTACCACTATTTTTCGAGCCTCCGTGACCGAAAATTTTGGCGCTAATCTAATGAGACCTAGGTAAGATAATATATTCACCTGCACAGGATGCATTTTCTCGTTTGAAAGTATGTCTGATGACTGGCATTAATGGTGTCAGTGCAGAGACTTGTGTAGGCTATTGTATCACTAGTACACCAGGCCTGTGGTGATATGTATAGAGGCTCTGGAACCTACATTATTGGTGATAGTGCTAAGAGACCTATGTAGGCTACTGTATTACCAGTACACCAGGCCTGTATTGATATATACAGAGGCTCCGAGGCCGGAATATTGCAGGTTTCTGTATTCTTTCATATCACCCAAGCTGTTTGCCAGGATGCACCAGTGCCTGGCATCATCATAACAGGAAACATGGTACATTGTGAAGCCATAGTGCTCTCAACCTTCCGAATTTCTCTTTCCATCATGACCTATTGCTCTTCTCCGCTTCATCCTAAAGGGCATCCACTAGGTTTATGATGCTATGTTTACAGCTGTAGTAGCATCTCGAATTCTTGGAACTAGCTCCAGCGAGGTTATTGTGTATGTCCGTACTAAGGCTGCCAATAGGTGTGTGGTACCTGGTGACTTCAATCCCCTGAAATCTGCTGCGCTGATCACATTAAGAAAAGTGTGACACAGGTGACAGTTCAATGCCCGCGAATCATCGTCCTGTCAACTTGATAAGAGCAGCAGTTAATTTGTTTGAAATACTGAGCAGGGATGCGGTGGATAACCGCCTGATCCAGTTTCTGTTTTTAGTGATGCACAGCACCATCGCAATGAGGCTGGACCTTTCCGTAGTCTGGTGGTTTGTGTGCTTCGGATATCCATTGAACAATGCTGGGTGGTGCTGTTGCGACTTCGGAGCCAATCATACCGGATTGGTCAATGGTTAGAGGCCAGACAAACAGCTCTCTGGTCCTCCAAGTTTGGGTTTAGAATGAGGGGCTCCTTATTCCTTAAAAAACTCTCTCTGTAGCCCAGTGTCAAACACACTGCCTTGCGGTCAGGTGTTTGAACCAAAGACACTGACACCAGCCAACGGGCGCAACCAGATGTTC